TGGAGAATATGGAAATCTCGGAACCATCTTCTCTTTAAAAAGCGTCGAATTAAAATGAGTAAGGATATTAATATGGCGCAGGCGGATGTAATGGAATGGCTTAAGTCATCCTCTTCCATATCGTTTCCACCTTCTACACCCCTGTTATACCACCCCCACCGTCAAAACATTTGGACTCCCCCCAATGCAGGAAGCTATAAATGCAATTATGATACAGCATTCGATCAATCTTCACACAGAGGTACAGTTGGCTGGCTTGTCCGCGACTCGGTGGGTGATTGCAAGTATTGGGGATCTGCCCAGTTGGGTTACACGGTATCTCCGCTCGAGGCTGAAGGAAAAGGTCTTTTAGTCACAATCCAAAATTTTTGGAGTATGAGTTTCACTGCAGTTACCTTTGAAGGAGATTGTCAGACTTTAGTACACTTACTACAACATCAACAACAGGATATTCGCATCTCCAATTTACTGACTGACATTCGAGCATGGTTATGTAAAATTCCCTCCACTAATTTGACTTTTGTCCACCGCCACTGCAACGAAGACGCTCATCTCCTAGCTAAACATGGGATTTCTGGCTTTCTATTTATTTCTGGATGTAATTCTACGCCAAATCGGCTGACTTGTATTGTAGTTACTGATTATAACAATCCTGGATGAATAAAATAACTATTCCGATAAAAACAAAATCTAACTTTTATTTTATTACTATTGTGAGTTTTTGTTGTCGTAAACTTATTTATTTATCATAACATATTATTAGGATACAAAGTGTTAAAAGTCCTGAAAGTTCAGATATTGAATTGAGTAAAAGATTCCATTTGGGGGTCCAAGTTTAGCTAAATTATGAGCAGTTTAATTACAAGATTGTTTTACATGCATTACATCAGAAAAATAAAATTTATTCAACCAAAATCTAATGATATTTTTATTATAAAAAAACTATATGTGTTTTGTTTACTAATATATATTATGTTATTTATTTTTTTGTTAACAATTCGAATAAATGCATTTACACTTTAAAAAATTGTACCGTTTCAAAATTTATGGTTGCGTTTTTTTATTATAAATGGTTGCATCTTTTTATTATAAATGGTTGCGTTTTTTCATCACAACTGTTATTTGTGTTTTTTCAAAACTATTTATATTGCTCAAAATCACAGAATAAAAATCATTTGAGTCTAACTTTTACTTTTTTTACTATGGTGGGTTTTTTTTGTCGCAAACAATCCAAATAAATGCCACTTACACTTAATAGTTGTGTCGTTTCAAAATTTGTGGTTGTATCTTTTCATAATAAATGATTGCATCTTTTCATTATAAATAGTTGCGTTTTTTTTATCACAACTGTAATTTGTGTTTTTTTAAATTATTTATTTCTCAAAATTACAGAAAAAAATTATTTGGATCTAACTTTTACTTTCTTATTATACTGAGTTTTTTTGTCGTAAATTTATTTATTTATCATAACATATTATCAGGATACAAAGTGTTTAAAATTCATAGAGGTTCATATATTGAATTTGAGTAAAAAAATTCCATTTGAGAGTCCAATTTTAGCTAAAATATGATAAGTTTTATTACAAGAATGTTTTACATGCATTACATCAGAAAAATAAAATTTATTCAACCAAAATCTAATGATATTTTTATTATCAAGAAATTATGTGTTTTCTTTACTAATATATATTATGTTATTTAATTTTTTTTGTTAACAATCCGAATAAATCTCATTTACACTTTAAAAAGTTGTGTCGTTTCAAAATTTGTGGTTGCATCTTTTCATTATAAATGGTTGCATCTTTTCATTATAAATGGTTGTATTTTTTGGTCACAACTCTTATTTGTATTTTTTTTAAACTATTTATATTGCTCAAAACCACAAAAAATCATTTGGGTCTAACTTTTACTTTCTTACTATGGTGGATTTTTTTTGTCGTAAACATATTTATTTATCATAACATGTTATCATGATAAAAAAATGTTTAAAAGTCCTGGAGGTTCAGATATTGAATCATAGTAAAAGATTCTATTTGGGGGTTTACTTTTGGCTAAAATATAAGCAGTTTCATTACAAAATTATTTTATATGCATTACATCAGAAAAATAAAATTTGTTCAAACAAAATCTAGTGATATTTTTATTATAAAATATTATATATTTTTGTTTACTAATATATATTATGTTATTTTTTTTATGAAAAGCATCTATATATTTATAGTTAATTGTGTTATTTTCAAATTTTAATATTTTTATTAGTTGTTTATAAATTTGATGTACCTGATATTTGAATTCTTTTTTCTAATTTCAGAGAAATATATTTATGTAATGTAACAAATTCACATATATTTTATATATGCATTTTAAGGTATCAAAGTTTTTATATTTTAACTATTATATTTGTAATATACTTTTTAATATTGCGAATCTTTTTTAGAAACTATAGTTTTAGAAAATGTATTATAAAATCTCGTTACATTGTTTTTTATTACATATATTTTCTGTAGTATTTTTTTAAAAAATATCAATTTTTTATTATAAATTTTTGTTTCTAACTTTTCAATAATAAATGTATAGTTTTATAAATTTTTTTTGAAAGATTTCCTGTATATTTATTTTTTACTTTACACTTTTGCGCGAATACAAATTTTTAATAATTATACAACTAGAAGATCTCATATTTATATTATATATTTATATTGTATATTTTCATATATAACTTTTTTAACACTCTTAAAAAGTTGTGTATCTTGTTTTTTCAGTTTTTTTTTTAATTTTTCTATTAATAATTAGTAATAACAATCCTAGAAAATTTTGTAAAAATTTACATATTTTTATCATAATTAATTTGTACATTTCCATTTAAAACTTATTGTTAATAATTAAAAAAACATGAAAATATCTTTTTCTTTTAATAATTATAAGTTGTTTTGAATGTTTACATTTTTTATTATATATATTTTACTTATAATTATTTTAAATAAATTTTTTTAAAATTTTTAATAAACTGAAAATTAACCCCGCAATGCGGAAATCTTATTCCTAGTTTCTTTAATTTTTTAATAAAAAAATAGCCTATTTTTATATCAAATTATACTTTTAGTCATTTTCTTAACCGAGCAGTTGGGGATGCTGACTGCTGTTACTCGGAAGATGCACAAGTCGGCGTCGTTTCATTCGAATTATCTGGTTTGTCATTCATACCTATTAATTACGCGGTTACTTGCTGAATTAAGCCGGTTCTACGAACCCTCCGGTTATTTAAATTAAGCCGGTACTGCCAGATAAAATCTATTTACAAATCAAATCAAATCAAATCTACGTAAAATTCCCTGGCTGTCATTAATGAAGAGAGGTGCCGAAATCAAATCTTAGGGAATTTCTCAAGTAAATCTTTCCTTTTTCTAACAGTCCTCAACGGATCAATTATGGTAAAATTAAGGAAATTAAAACTAAGCAAAAAAATGGAAATCGAACCTTGAAACACACACAAACGCATTTTTTTGACCGTTGGCGTCTAAAAAAAATAGACAAATCTATAAGTAGACCTAGGTCTGCCTAGGTCACACAGTCTCTCTCTCAAATTTCATTATTCTTCTTCTTTGTGCGCGAGAACGAGAAAATCGAAAACCCAGAGCGTGTTTGGGAAATCAACAACAACAAAATCAACAATGCGATCACCGCCTTCTTCCTCGTGTTCCAATTCGTCTTCTTCTTGTTGTTCTAGTTCCCTCGCTGCAACGAGTTTGGCCAACAGGCTCCGGACCGTGTTCAAGAAAGCTTCCGAGCTTACGACTCTCTGCGATATCGAAGCCTGCGTCATCCATTACGGACCAGACGGAGAATTACAGACATGGCCTAAGGATCGACAGAAAGTGAGAGACTTGGCTCTTCGGTATAGTCGTCTCGACGACGCCAAGAGGCGCAAGAAAAGCGTCAATCTTTATGGGTTCCTCAACAAGAACAAGAACAAGACCAAGGCGACGAATCTGACGAAGAAGCCGAGGACGACGAACTCGAATCAACTAAAGTATCCACTCTCTGATCACCACTCTCCCGACCAAATCTCCCAACTGATGGAGTCCTTGCTACGAAAGCGCTCCATCTTGCAAGAAAGGCGTCGTTTTCTCGAGGCACGGAAACAGACAAAGGCAAAGTTGGAAGATCATAAGGGTTTAGCACCATCCTCTCTCAACCATCAACAGACCCAATCCTTGAACCCTTCCTCTCTGAACCTTCATCAGACCCAATCCTTGAACCCTAGCAAGTTCTCGCTAGTTATGTATAACCACGAAGATGCTACTCTCTCTCAAATCCCACTCTCTGCATCAAATTTCACCAATTTCACAGATGATTACTTGATGCATCAAGAGGTTAATGGTTGTGGTCAGAATATATCTATGGGTTACATCAACAGCAACAACTTTCAACTTCCTTGCGACTCAAACACACAAGAATCTGTGAATAACTACGGCTTGAATCAGTTGACGCCTCAAGAGCTTTGTGGTTATGATCAGAACATCTGTATGGGTGATACTACCAACAGCAACAACTTTCAAGGTCCTTGCGTCTCAAACACACAAGCGGTACCAGTACAGGAGTCTGTGAATAACTACGGGATGAATGAGTTGATGCCTCAAGAGCTTTATGGTTATTATCAGAGCATGTGCATGAGTGATACTACCAACAGCCTCAACTTTCAACATCCTTGCTTCTCAAACACGCAAGAGTTGCATGAATCTGTTACTGACTTCGGGTTGAATCACTTGACGCAGCAAGAGCCGTATGGTTTTGATCAGAGCATGTGTACGAGTGATACTATCAACAGCAACGTTCTCGATCCTTGTCTCTCAAACACAGTTTCAGATAACCTCTGTTCTGACTTTCAGGATCCTTATGGTATTATGTTCGGCAACAGTAGCTTCTCTCAAGACCTCTCAGATATGTTTTCAAGCTATGATCTTCAGTTTGATGAGAGCAGTCTACTTCAGACGTCTACTCTACCATCTCTCCACACTATCTCTATCAGCTAGACCACAGAGATTGAAACTGTTTATGCGTCTGGATTTCTCTGAGTACAAAGAAGAGTTAGAACTTGGAAGCAATTACCTTATGTTCTGTATTTCGATTATATGAATTTAACTGCAAAGCAGATGCATTTGTCGAGATTTTGTTTAAACTTTTCAATATATTAACTTTTTTTCCGAACATTATTCATAGATGTATGCACAGCCATATCCCATATATGGGTATCTTTCTATAACGAAATCTCATAAAACTTCAATGAAACAAATTATCTAAAAACATTGAAAACAGTTTCAGATTCTTTTATGTGTTCAGTGACAGCACTCAAAACTATATCAATTGCTATGAATTAACAGATTCCACCTGCAAAGTCAAATCCTTTACTCCTGCATCTTCTAACAAACGCGAGACTTGCAACTTAGTATCCTTCTTATCTAAATCAGCTGATACAAGGCGTTTCTGGTGAATGTTTCTTTAAGTCAGAAGACAAACTAGGAACTCTCACTGGTAACAGGAAAGCAAGAATATACATACTTGGAACAATAGTCTGCCAGGAGGAGACTAACAGCTTTGGCCGCGCCATCCCTCTCATCAGGAAGGTGAAGCAACGATGGTATCACAACGTCCACGCACATTGTACCAGAGAAGCTGTCTACAGACTGAGATTGTAGTTTCGCGATAACTGCTTTAAATATACCAACAACGCCTTCTGATATCTCTTCGTTGTTGCTGCGAAGCTTCAAAGGCAAAATAATATGTAAGTACTGAGACGCTCACATGAGTATATATATTATCCCTGACGATTAATTTTATTAGGATATGTTATAATCATAGCAGCAATGCAGAACCAAACTTATGAGTTTCATAATGAGTAGGAGTCAGAAAAGCCTATACAACTGCAAGAGATTTTTCTGTAAAAAATGGGTAAAGATACCTGATGAAAAGACAAGGCACAAGCTTCGTTCCATACTCTCAAATGATATAGAGATTGCCAAAGCAGCACAATCAAACAGCATGTGAGATCAATCCAAGACTATTGCTCATGAAACAAGCCACAAACTCTACAACCATATACGCCGTGTTGATCAAAAGAAACAAAGCAATCTTTCTGGACTTCTTCTCGCTCAAAATGTGACAAATAGGCTTCTTAAACATAGTGGTAAACGACTCAGGTGATTCCATACCAATCTCGTGATAATCTAAATTCACAGAGTCCAATTCTCTGACGGAAACGTAAAGCAACAAACCACACAACAACAATCCCCAAAGAGAAAGCTCAGGGAAGTAGAAGAGTTCCAATACTATGGTGCATAGAAACTCCCTCCCAGAGTCTTTCTTGGAGCTCGAAAACTTATCTTCGTTGTGATTCTCAGTCAACAGCACTCCGAATACAACAGTGTTAGCTATAGGCCAACCAAAATTCCCAATGGAGACACCAACTTCATCACTTCCAGAGAAGAGGAAACTCCAGAGAGCCAGTGGGAACAACAACACAGTGGTTAGAAACAAGGAGAGCAATCGAACTCGTTTCTGATCAAGCTGTTTGATCTCGACCCAATTCATGGAAACTTTCTCATAGCAACCAGATAGAAATGGAAGCAACAAAGGCCATATTCTCAAGCAATTCTCTTTAGGGTATATCCAAAAACCTCAATTTTCGATAGATGATGAAGAGAAAGGGAAACAATCAACACGAACCCAGCTGATTGAAAACCAAAAACAACCCAGCGAACAAGATGCAAAACCCACGAACCTTAGATAATCCAATTCCGCCATTATCGCCGGAAAATCGATTCCGAGACTCTGATAGAACTCTCGCGGAGACTGTACCGGAGAGCTCAGCTAAGATTGATCATAGCTGTTGCGCCGCAGTAACGGAGAGCCTGGAATCGGAGGAGTAAAACAACGGCTAGAAAACCCGATTTTGCGAGTATGAGCTTGATTTTTTTTTTTTTTTTTTTTGTCAACGCGAGTAGAGCTTGATTTGAGACGAGGAGAGAGACGAAAATCAAGAAAACGGCACGACTCTGCCGGAGAAAGGGGTCATTTTTTGGAGGGAGAAAACGCAAAGAATTTGGGTTTAAGAAACTTAATGTGAGGCCCAATAACTGGATTTCTTATTGGTCTTCGACAAACCAATTTATAACGAAACCAACCCCAGTGGTGATTTTAGTCTTTTAGATGTCTAAATGTTTTTAATAATAAAATTGAATAAAATAATAATGAATGGTGTATCAATGTCTAAATCAAAACACTTTTTGAGTGAAGAGTGGACAATGAAAAATTTTAGTTTTTGAATTACACTTCTATAATTTTTATGTTTTTATGTATTACATTTTTGAAATTTTTTGAAAATGTATTATTTTTTAAGAATTGTTAACAAAAATTTTTACTTAAATTTATTTTTTTAAAAAATTATTTTAAAAATATCCATCAAAAATGTCTTTATTATATGTTTTAAAAACATCAAAATACTACAAAATATCTTATATACATAAAATATATAAAATATTAATAAGTAATCAATAAGATCCACACTAATAATGTCTCTATTGAACTTGCTCTAACAGTTGTGTTGAGCTCACTGACCATTGTCACTGCACTAGCAAGTAGCAACTATCACCACATTATTGATTATTCTTTTGTAGCAACCAACTAATCCTGATCCATCGTCGAACCACCACGATCAGAAATCTGATCTTCGTTATGTTACAACTATATTTCGATCTTTCTCGCACATGTATTATGACCAAATTCACTACTATATATTTGATGGCTATGACAATGTCATGCTGGCCAATATGTATATGTAAGAGTGTTGTTAGGGGTTACATCAGTTTATTGAGTAAGCTTAATCTTGTCTAAATCGGTTCAAATAGCTTTATTTAAGTCCGAGCTGCTTTAGTTTTATACCATACTTTAGTCACTAAATTCTAAAATTTAATCTTCAAAAATCTCTTCTAAAAATAGCCTTTTATATTAAACTATCCTTCTAGTCATTTTCTTAGTTGTTTACTAAAATATACTAAAAATAGTAAATAAGTAATGAATTTGATACCACTCCGACTATGCCAGACCTTGAGAGGATTGGACTGTTTTTAAATACATGTATTATGTATCCTTAGGATTAGTCGTACGGATGAAGCTAGGGATGTCTTTTACTCTTAGGTTCATCATCGATGGAATCCAATTTAATTTTCTAAGTGCTCTTTGGTCAAGTAACTCTCATCTGCCAAATTCACTACCATTATTCTATTAGTAACAGTTTCGACATCTCCAAAAAAACCATTAAAATTGAATCACCGCATTAATATGCAGATTTTGATGCGTTTACATTGAATTGTGTAGATATATATATATATATATATATATATATATATATATATATATATATATTCAAAGCACATGTGGAATGATATGATATTAAAATAGTTGGGGACAATACTATTAAAGCCATTTACTATATATAATGCATATATTTAATTTGGAGGTTGCATGCTCAGCCAACTAAGGAAAAAATGTAAAAGGTACACCAGTTTTTATAAGACTCGTCCCACTCAACTTTTTATTTCTTTTTCTGAACAAATGACCCACACTGTTTGTAAATGATTTATGTAATTTATAAAAGAAATAAAACTATTCAGTATTTTTTGGGGTTTGATTTTTATTATCTTTACATTATAGAAATGAAACTTTTACAGTAGGTTTTCTTATATTTGTGAGGACATTCCTAAAAATAGAAATTAGATTACTTGTCCACATCCATTTTTCTCACTCATACAAACTAATACTGTATATCATAGGGAGTCTTATAGTAATAAAGGTCAGATGAATATGAAACATGCTTGTAATAATCATGTGTATTTACGTCAAAAAAAAAGATGTGAATCTTTCAGTCCTTCAGTATATTATGCCTACATTAAAGGCTGACTATATGCCCCAAAAAAGTGAGTCAAACTTTACTTTCGCAATTGAAGCCGCAACTAATATGGTTACATCAAGTGTTCTTAGTTGTGTGTAAGATTAACTCTCATATTTTGGTGACTTAGGTAAGTTATTTACCGGTAAAGGAATATAACTCAACTGTTTAGACTTTTTTTGTGCCTTAGGTATAGGTTAGTTTTATTGAATATCTATATTTTTGCATTTCCTATTTAATAAAATTATTTATTAATACTTAACTCACAGACAGATTTACAAAGATGTATTTGTATTTTTTTTTTCACTTGTTGTAGTTTTTTTTCATAGTTCAAAAGTCATAGAGACATTTGTATTTTGGTAAAAATAAGGCTGTAACTGGTGATTATAAAGAATGGAAAAGAATACTAAATTTCTTATCATTCCTTAAAAATTACACCATTTAAAAGGAATATATTGTATCCATCATTCCTTGTCATTCTTTATGTTTTAAGAAACTATAATGTTAATATATTCCCTATAAAAAATGAGAAGAAACAATAATTCCTATTATTTTGTTCCTTTCATTCCTTTTTCTATTCATTCTTATTGTTACTTTTATGCCTAAATCTTAAACTTGTCTGTATATATTTTGTGCCAGTTGATATATTTTTACCCCAGAACTGCTGTTTTGGATTTGGTATTATTTTTTGTCTTCATTTGCTATTTTTGATTTTATATCTATTTTGAGGTTTATGTTTTTTTTCCACAAAAGAAATTTATCAAATACTTTATAAATTATACAAATAGTAAATGTTGGCAATTTCCCTGTCCTTGACTGACACAATCGAGTTCAGATATCACAGTCTCTGTTTTTTCTTTGTTAGGGAGGAAAAAGAAAGATTCTTTTCCATCAAAATTCATCTCATTGATTTTAAAAAAAAAAAACAAATTAAGTGACTATGTGAGAGAGAAAGAAAGAGATTCATCACCTGCTACTGCTATACTCATGCTGCAGTTCTGCTACACATATATATGTCGGAGACTTTTTGACTATGGAAGGAACCGTGCGGAACAATTATTTTATAGCGCAATAAAAAATATCTTTCAATTATAATCATCTTTTTTTCGTGCAGCACATTATTCTTTTTAATTATATTTTTGAAGATTTATTTTAGTATTAACTAAATGCAATGTAAACAAAATATGACCGGTGGGAAAACATAAGCTAATGTTAAAAAAAAAAAAAAAAAAAAAAAGCCAAAACCGTGATGCTTATTAGCCTCCACTCAAGGTCTAAAGACCAATCCCGTTTCTTTAAAGGTTCATACAATAATTAAAGGACGATTAGGTTACAAAGACAACATATATAATTATATATAGAGCTCATTAAAGATTACATGAGTAAACTTCTAATAACGGCGGCTTCAGGGCTATCTTCATCGACGGATTCCAGAAGCTGAGACAAACGCTCGCTGAGGTTGTCAACTTCTCTGTTCAGGTTTCTTATGTAGTTGCATGTCTCTTGCAGCACTTTAGACGCTGAAACCTATTTATATAGTTCAGTAATTAATTAAAAATGTAATGAATGTATATATATACATATGCACATGCATGCATGTGTTATGTGTATGTGTATGTAGATACATACATAGCGATGATTTTGATGGAAAATGTACGTAAAATGTGTTTATTTGTATATGTAAACAAAATGTTGTGGATATTGTTGTTAGGTCCGGAGTCAAAAAGTTCCGACTTCATTTTTCTTTTGTTTGATTTTGTGTCCTCTCTTCTTTTGATAAAACGTTTGTTTTGGATAAAAGGTCTTCACGATGGAAAAGTGAGACCATCGTTAATAAAGAAGAATTTACCTGATCAGAGCGACGTCGTTGGCCAATCTCCGGCAAAATCTGACGGAGCTTAGTTACAAGGTCGATCATTTGATCATCAGAGATCCTTGGAGCACTTGAAGATTGTCTTGATCTTCTGTTAGACATTTTCTACAATGTGGCAAAGAAAGACACGTAAGTTTTCTTGTTTCTTCTCTAGCTTCTACTCTCTCTCTCTCTCACTAGTTCTTTGAGGAATAGTGAAATGGAGAGATGAGATAAGCTATGTGGCAAGTAGGTATATAGCTTTTATGGTTTGAGAAGGTTTTAAGTTGAAAAGGAAAGACCAAAGAAGAAAGAAAAAACAGAAAGCAAGAAGAGAATAGAGGTGATCACGAGAGAGTGTTTTGAATACACTTAAAAATATAAAGAAATTGAGAATGTGATAAGAGTGATTTAAATAGGCCATAAGGACCACAAGAGAGAGAGACGGAGAGCAATAAACCTCGACAATGATGTCACGGGGGAAGAAAGCGATAGGTTTCAATGCCTTTTAACCACAAAACTTCTTAATCAATTTTTCTTATTATTTTTATAATAACGAAATTTTCTAACCTTATTGTATAACTTTATGTTTCGTCAAGTCAAGACTACAACGTATCAGAAGATTAATATTATTTTTTTCACTGCGATCTCAATCATATGGTTTATCATTGTGTTTGCTTTAAATGACAAACAAAACCGGGATTAGAATGGATCACAATACCGATATAAATATTTATCCTCTCTTTAAATTTGGTCCCAGTGGTAGAAAACAATACTCTTTTCATTGTAAAACTAGGATTTAAATTTTTTTTTTTTTTTTACAATTTTACTTTAAAACAAAAACTGCATATCACACCTATGAAATTGAATTTAACCCTCTGTCATCGCTGTCAGAATTGTTACATTATATATCAAATCAAAGTGCTGGAGACGTAGAGTCTGAATCTACTTTTATAATTTATAAACTATAATGTGTTTGACCGTAAATAGTTTTTAGAGATATAAAGAATAGTTATATATTACAGATTAAATCAGACTTTGAAGATTTTACCAACATTTTTTGCGAGTACGTAAAGTTTCAGTTCAAAGGTTTCTTTTTTGCAGGAAACTCGTAAAACTAGCTAGTCATCACTTAGATTATTATATACAATTTACTTTTATCTGAATAACATAAGATTAAAAAAAAAAAACAACACTTACATATAGTATAGTTTACTTTTATCAATAAAAAACACATTTTACACGAAAAAATTGAAAAGCAAAAAATAATAGGTATGTTCAGCAATTATATCATATAAATAACAACTTATATGCTTAGTCATTTTTGCAAAAGAAATATGATTGTCATTAAAAAAAATTGAGACTCCATATATTTCTATAGGAGGAATAAATAAGTGGGTACTAAAAAGGTGTTGAATAAATGGAGGAAATTTGAATAGTTAAGTGGATGAAACTAAGAGTTCCCAGAGATGGCGTTGATGAAGGTCAAGCCGATTTAAGATAAGTTTTTCATGTTGATCTAACATTGTGGCCCTTCATCTGCAATGTCACAAAAAGGCAAATACCATGTGATGACATGACTTTTCCTTTCATTTTATTTTATTATTTCGTAAATTACAATTCATACATATTATGGCCTGACTAGTTAATTAATCTCACTCTCTATAAAATTTTACCTAAATTTTATTCACAGTTTTTTTTGGGTCATAACACACGTTGTTTACCCATTATCCAAATACATTCATTACATAAATAACACAATTTTCAGTTAAAAGAAAGAAAGAAAATAAGTTTTGTTATGAAAAGTTATTCTACGTACGAATGTAAAATTTTGAGGAAGAACTCACGAAAACCTACAAACTTGCCCATCTCTAATGTAAAAGTCGGACACTCGTTGAGATTAAATATTTTTTAGGTCACCTCATTTTGTGAATTTTTATCCACAGTGTATATGTATGTGCATGGTTTGTATCTAGCTATTATTTACCTATAGGTAAATAGATTTTTTTTTTAAAGGAGTATCAAACTTGTATATCAAAGAGGATAGAGAGAAACCTGTTAATCCTACCATTTCAATGGAGACACCAAAATATGTGACTCATATGAAACATATTGATTGCTGGCTTGCTGCTAAGCCATATATAGCTTCACCTATCATTTGAAATAATGTGTATTGATATTTTTAAAAGAAAAATGTATATAGATAGTCCATATGACCGAGATATAGCAAATAGAAAACAAAAATCAACTTTTTACAAAGCGTGATATCGAATTTAAATGCATAAAAAGACATCTCAATTGGGTTTTAGCTTAGTCGGTCACTTTAAAAATCATAGCTACGACTTTGAAGCTTCTCTTAAAACAAACGAAAGCAAAAGCAAACAATATGAAAATGAATATTACTTGCCTAATTGAGGATTGAACCGTAAGTAGTTCTTTAAATATAAGTGTCCTAATTAAGATCAAGTAACTAACTAATTAATAATATTACCTAATTAACAAAATGCTAACTAACTACTCATGATCTATAATATTAACTTTCGATAAAATTAAGTTTGATAATCAAACCTATTTTCAAACTTCTCCGTAGACTTATACTTGTAGAACCAATAACTTTATAAATACGGTAAAAACAATTCAGTCACGAATATAAATCAATAATTAAAATCGAATTAAAACAAGTTAATAAAAAATTCGAATGAATAAATCGGAATTTGTATAAATAATAAACGGAATGAAGATTGAAATCTTTTTCATTAACTCAAAGAATCACTCGTAATGTGACAGGTTTAATAATGATTTATGAGTCTCAGTATACAACCGTTAAATCCCAAATCGCAACACTCAATTTTGGGCTTGAAAAACTAACTCTACAAATACTCTCTAAATTACTAACCTGATGCAAAGATGGATCGGAGGAACTGTGTGTTTATTTTTTGTTTTGTGTTTTTTGATATCGAAAATCGGATGATCAAAATTTGTATATATAAAATAGAGATGGGACTAAGGTTTTTTAGTTGAACCTCCAAAAATTTAGGCGGCACGTTTAGGGCGTGACTAACAAAGTAAATTAATTAAACCCCAACCGACTTACAGCCTAAGAGCTTTAAGAGCCAAATCCAAAAATATGACCACAGACCACGAGCTACAGACCCCTCCGACAGCGGTAGCACACGTGTGTATGTCTTTTCTTCCTCTCTTAACTATTTGAACCAACGATAATGTTAGTAAACTTTCAATGTAGGACTTTGTTAGTTTTTGTTAGCTTTCCACAAAAAATAAGAACCAATAAAAATATTTCATTTATATATGCTTTAACTCATTCTTCACACATACACAAATTAATAAAGCCCAACAATACTTTATTAATTTTGTTCCAACAATACTTTGACAAACGTTAGCCTTTGGTTTAACAAAGTTTATTTTGAAGTGATAAAAATGCATATCTCATCACTTATTTTAAGATTTGAGATATACATAGGTTGGTTCATTATTGGTTAATAAAAAAAATCTCATAACATCGACTACGACACGTGTCACACCCATGTCTCGTGCTACATGCTGCCTTTGGGTCCATAAAATCAAACTTTTAGATATCTTGTTCTCCAATAACATTATCAACAAAGATCCGACAAGTATGTAACACTCTTATTTAAATAATTTTGGGAAAATTTGAATTCTCTAATTCTCGCCTCAAATATCTCATCTGTAAAGTGTACATAATAAATTAATTACTACAATATGTGTCAATAGTAGTTCAATGACATTTTTGGTAAAGACTTGCATGTTATAATAAAGTTAAGTATATATTTTAATCAACAAATAAAAAACTATATAATTTTATAATCTTTTCAACATGTAGCACATAAGTAGAAGTTATTGGTTCTAAAATATGTATTTAGAAAAATCAACTAAATTTAGTGTTATTGCTTTTATAATTTTAAAACTTTATTTTGATTCTAAGATTTAAAAAAAACATATTCAAATTATGTTTATGATTTTAAAATCATACATTTGGTTCTAAAGTGAATTTTAGTGGATTTTGTAGGAATTCCATATTAAAAATATAAAAACTTAAATCCAAATAGATTTAAAAATTAATAAATTTTATAAGATTATATGAATTCTTAAATTTCGATTCTTTCAAAATAAATGTTGTTTATTAAAATAGTTCTCACTTAACTTAATATGTAAAAAAGTTGATTTTAGTCGTCGAGTTTGTTATATGTAACCGATATCATCTGAAAAGAATTTCACACTGATAAGAGAATGATATGTGGATCATACACTCATAAGCACAATGCACACTTTATATCTTTCTTTGATTTATACACCACAAAAATTAAACGAAAACTTTAATTAATATATATTTGTAAATAATACACACCCTTTTGAGATCAATAATGCACATAATTGAAGAGAGCATATTCTACATGTGAACACAAGTATATAGAAATTTAAGTTTTGGTGCGTGTGTATGTGTGTGTGTGTATGTTTTATAAGATTATTAAAGAAAGTGACCATTCAAATAAATTGCAAAGGGAGATTTTACATGTTAGTCCATGTGGGTTCGGGTACTAAATGTTTGTTGGTCTCATAGGCTCCACGATGTTTTTGTGTCTATTTTTTTCGCATTTAGTTCACATCTTTACAACACATGTTGTAAGAAACGAATAATCATATGGAAATGAACGACTAGCTAATTAAGTAATTTGTACACACTCATACAAATTACTTTTTCGAAGCAATTGAGATTTTTTTCTTTTTTAAGTGAACAGCAAAAACACTATATAGTACGGAAATTTCCATTAATAACACCGATCATGTTGTCGCAATGAGATGAAAGAGCATTGAAAAAGTCATCAAAACCGCCTCTTCTATTCTATGTTCTGAGATTTGGATTATTCAATATACATCAAAAATTATCGTACCAATTTATATTTTCAATGCAAAATGATCATTTGACAAGAAGTTTCCGAAACTCACAACAAATAAAACATTTAGACCGCGTAGACAGTAGATTTATGCAGTGTTGTCACAATTACAATTAAGGAGACAATGATGCATCTACCTGTTCATGCAGCTACACATTTTATCATGATTGGGGAGACATCGTCTTCTGCTAGCTAGTGCTACTTTCTTTCTAATTCCAAATTGTATACGGTTTATAACTATAGATGGTTTAGATAATCTCTCAAGAAGAGTATGTATACTAGACATTAAACAAGTCTGCACAACAGAAAAAAAAAGAAGAGGTAATTAACAAGCATGGAACACCACTTCGTGGGTTTACAATGTCTCTGGTTCTTAAATAATACTCTCTTGTCCCAAGATGTTCTAGATAAAGGCAGAAAGATTAAAAAACTCTTTTTTGGTTTAAGAACATCATTTGATAATTAACTAAAAACATAATTTAACCAATCATAAAAGGTTAAAAGTATCAAATAACATTAAATTTTGCATAAAAGTTGTAAAACATCTTCTAAAATGGGACAGAAAGAGCATTAACATTACCGTTTGGTCAGTTAACGAGTCGAATGAGCATTCAAATAATATGTTTCGTTGTGTTTAATTAAGTCTACTCGGATGATATATTATAGTCCACATGTGTAATATTATATTTGTGGAATACTTTGTTGGAAAAAACGGTTCTCTTTGGTTATAAATTAAAAGTTCAGATTGATGAAAATAAAGTAAGGGGCTGAGACGAGAAAACTATTTTTAGGATGTTATATTGAATACTAAATGACCTTTTAAAGGCTTAATAAAGATGAATTAAGATATAAATAAAGATGAATACACATTTTTAAAAGTAAAATAAACAGTAATCAAATACTAACAAATAAAAAAACCTATCTCCAACAATAAATGTATAAATGTTTTACTCCATAGTTAGCAACAATGCCAAACAAAAAAACCTTAGGAGCTTTCTTGTAAACTGTTGCGCTTTAGATCAAATTCTGGTACATGGCAGTGTTTACATATATATGATTTGTTTTGGGTAGTAGAGTCGATAGATTTCGCATCTGTTAACCCCAAATCAATATACTTTTCCTGATTGCAAGCTTAAGATTTATTTATAATCATACAATTATAAATAGTTTGAAGCAGCGTATGTGTTGAGATCTGATGCTTTCTCTAATTTTCTGTTTCGTGTAGTCTATTACATCAGATGAAAATCAAAGAAACCACAGCTAAAGAATACCTCCGCTTTTGTGTTTTCATTTCAAAAATTAAATCCCCATGCAATCAAAACAAAAGAGGAATTTCTAGATTAGTTATAAGATAAATTAAAATGTATTTACCCTTCGATGTTTATGAAATCATTTTAGTTCCCTTGTAGGAAGAGGAAGATATACAAATGACTTCTAATTTAAGTTACATGGACTTCTAACCTAAAACCAATTGGCAGCAAGTGGATTGGCCCATGATCTTTATATATTAGTTAGGATCTCTTCCAACTTCCGATGTGGGATATTATCCCTAATACGCCCCCTCGAGATAATGGCTACTTTGGCCATTGATCTCGGTAATATTTGGGCAAGAATCGACAGACCATCTTTGGGTCACATATTGATTATGGATCGGGTTGGATTGTTTGGATCAGAATTTGATACCATGTTAAGTTACATGGGCTTCCAACCTAAAACCAATTGGCAGTAAATGGATTGGTCCATGGCCCTTATATATTAGTTAGGATCCCTTCCAACTTCCGATGTGGGATATTATCCCTAATAGTACTTGCCAGCGTAATCCTCCGAGGTACTTTCTTCTTCTATTAAATCTTATTAGCAGACCTATGAGCCGAGACGTGATTCTTCAAAAATCAATCAAGGAGCTTCCTCATGAAAAACTACGTACGTACTTTTCTATAATTGAAAATGTTTTCTTAACAAAGTGTGTCAATATTGAGTATATGCACGTGACAGATCTACATACTTTTATTTCTATAAATGGAAGTGGTTTCAGGCTTTCAGCTAAAAGTCAACTGCAGAGCGAAAAGCTAACCTGTTGAGTGACTCTAAAAGAAAAAGAGGGTTCATGTGTAATTAGACTACCGGTTATGGATCTAATCATAAAGAACAGAAATGGAGGGAGAATAGAGATCTGTATAAGAGATCAAGTCATAAAGAACAGAAATGGAGGGTGAATAGAGGAAGAGTTTAGATGACAAGAGAAGAAGAAGTTTGGGACTAAATCCACTTTTGATAATGATCGTAATCTATAAAGTGTTTTCGTTTACAGTTTTAAAACTTAAACAGCAAGTAAGTGACTGAAAATCTAATAAGCATAATGACCCATTAATTAATAAACGAGGCCCATTTGATATCATTTAGATGAGAAAAGAAGAAGAGAGGAAGAAGTTTGGGACTAAATCCACTTTTGACAATGATCGTAATCTATAAAGTGTTTTTCCTTTCACAGTTTTAAAACTTAAATAGTAAGTGATCATTGACAAAAAAAAAATAGTAAGTGATAAAAGGTTTGAAAATCTAATAAGCATAATAGCCCAATAATCAATAAACGAGGCCTATTTGATACTAATCAGATATCATGACAAAGTTCAATAGTTCATAATCGTAGGAATGGTGTTTCCTATTGTGTATTCAGTTGTGGAAACAGAGGTGATGAATGGGTTTTGGGTTATTGAATGTCTTTATGTTCGAATTATCTTCATAATTATTTTTGCACAAACTTTCTACTTATTGAATTTCAAATACAAGAATCTTATTTAACTTAATAATACCTAAAAAACTATAAGAATGAACTTGTTGGTCTGAACAAGCATCAATTGAAACCCCTCCATCCATTAATTAGGTTATTAGCTTTGCATTTTTAGTATACAATGTCAAAACTGTATAACTTTAATCATTTCTTACAAAAGATTTTCATCTATGCCACCAAAGCCCATCATATAATGACGGTGATGGATGTGAATGTTAACTTGATCACAATGCTAATGTCTAAGGGAAATAGATAACTAAAAATGATGATTTCTTATAAATATAGTCTTTTAACTAAATTTATGGTTGATAAAGGTTTTTAGCAGCAACAATTCTTCGGATATCATAACTGATAAAGGATAAGGTAATGTAAATTATATTTCTAATAAGATCAAAAAGGTCACCGAACTTGTCTTTTTTTGGAATGCTCACTGCCGATACATCCCTAAAAGATTATTGTAAGCTCAAAATTTCCCTCAAACATGAAAAGCTTTGGTTAGGTGATAACCGTTACACTCAGTCCATTGCGAAATTTTGGAGGGTCTTCACTTCAGATCAATATGATCCATCAGGATTCATCTCATACTGTCAGATTAAAGAAGTTGCATGAAATAGCCAGCAAGTTCCTAAATAAGTTAAAGAACTGGATTTCCAATGCTGGTGATATATAATTTGATAAATTCCAGTATACATATGCTATCATTTCAAAGAGTTGGTTTAATTCGGGATGAAGATACTTGATTCAAGAATCAACTTGATAAAAACCAGCAATTTTCCTCTCGTGGTTAAATTAATGTCATTTTGACGATTCTATGGACCTTGACACTTGAAGGATCAAAAATTTAACTTCATTCTATGTCATGATAGAAGTATAGATAGAGTCGGATTGGATTTGTTAGAAGAATTCATTGAAATAACTACGGACTGGCGAAAGTATTTACGTAGCCAAGACTATTAGCTACACAAATGGCGACAGATAGCGACAAAACAAATAATATTATTTTTGTAGCTAAATCTATAGCAATTCTATAGCAATCTGTAGCTATATAGCTAGAGATGAAATCCGTCGATATTTTATAGCTAAATAGCTACATATTGATAGAGATAAGTTGTCGCCATAAATGTTTTAGCTAGCAATGCATAGCTACAAATTGGCAACAACATGTATGTTATCATTATCCATCCCGTATATAGCAATGACGTAACAACAAAATTAAAGTAGCTAATTTTTTTTATAATACTAAAAGAATTTAAGTAAAAATAATAATTTTAAAATTTAGTTATTATTTAGTAATTTTTAATGTCAATACATAAAAAGATAGATTTTAAATTAATTATATCATTTAATGTGCCATAGAAAAAAATCACCAAGATATATAATGTGACAATGTCTGAAGAACTTAACTAGTATAATCTAATATTATATATAAGTTTAGACGAATTGAAAGCAAAAATTAATTAGTTCAAAAAGAAATGTGGAATGGATCGCTGCCACTTATCGAAGGTACGTAAGTAACTCGTATATTTGTGTTTAATCGGTAGCAAATCAACAGCAATGTATGGTGGCATTCGCACGATCAGTCTTGAGAGATGCGCATATCACACTTTCTAATTACACGCAGTACAAGATTGATAGTAACTCATACCGATTGAAAATAATTTTCCAACACCAATACTCTTAATCAGGAGGATATATGTTTAACATGGACAGTTAATAGTTTAAGCAAATAGATCAATGTAATGACATTTTTATAATTAAATATAAACTAATTAACGATATATGTTGGTTTTTAAAGTACAACTTTATAATGATAAAGATGAAACTCAAAATATATTCATTCAGATGATAAAGATGAAAAAACTTAAGCATGAAAAAAATAGTTTCTTATCTAACAATAGCTGAAGAACCTACTGTAGAAGATCACAATATATAAAATTTCAAGTGAAAGTTCTTATGCTAAGTTTTAATGTTTCTATTTTTGTTGAATTAGTTTAAGATTTATATGCAAAATTATATATATTTTGGAGTTTAGATTTGTTTTGTTATAATAGAATTTGAGTTTCAAAATATAATAACACTTGTTTTTCTAATTTTGTATCCATGATTTCATATAAATAAAGGGTAAAGCATGTAAACTTTAAAGAAAAGAATAACACTTGCACTTATTTTTTGAAAGGTCCGCCAGCCATTTGGAAAGTTTCCGCCAAACAGTTGGCTAAAGTTTTCAGATTCTGCCTTAATATTTAGCCATAATTTTTGCAAAACCTAAATCTTTTTTTCCCTCTTATCCTTCGCCGCTGATTCTTTTCATCCTTCTTTTCCCTCTTCTCTCCTTGGCGGCTGATTCTTTCCCCTCCACCTTATTCGCGGCTGATTATTTTTCCTCTTCTCCTCCGCAGCAGAGAACTCTATAATAATGTCAGTCTCTCCCTCTCGCAATCGCTCATTTATCTCTTTCACGGCAGTTAAACACAATATCTAAGGTTAGATTCTTCTTTAGATTTATAGTTTTGAGTTTTGTTTGGGGTGAAATCATGCAATGACTTTGGGTAATTGCTGTATTGTGCCAAAATTGATTTAGGATTCAATTCTTCTTTGAATCTCTGCGTTTTGTTGTTTGTAATGTTATGCTCTTCAGATTTCGGTAATTGATGTTTATGTATTGAAATTGTTTTATGGTTCAATTTTACGGGGTTCCTATTTTTGGCTGAAATCATTCTCTTCAGTTTTGGTTATTTGATAATGGTTACTACTGAAACCGAATTATTAATTATTTAATCAGGGAATGATTTAGTATTGCACAATACTCTATCATTCTCTTCAATCTTCACTCTAATGTTTTCCAAATCTCTATCATTGTAGTATGCATCCACCATGTAGGTAGACTACCCGCAAGAGGTAATGTTGGACCAGAGGCCCATGCTCCCTCAAGAGCTGGTGATCTCTTCATTCTTCAGTTGCAGATGGAAGCCCTCTACGCCAAGCTCTATGACAAATACACCAAACTCAAGGTTTTCTCAAGCAAGATCTTCCATTTAATTTTTCGTTTTTGTATTTTGCGTTTCAGGATTTTGATTTAACTGCTTTTATTTAAAGAAGATGCTCTCATTTCAACAAGAAAAATTCCTAAACTTAGTTTCAGGTACCAGTTTTGATCTATTGTAGTATGGTTTTTGGAAGATTCTTTATTTATAGCTGAGCTCTTCTTTTTACTTCATGTTTGAGTTTTAATATCATCAGATATATTCATGAGTTGTTACTAGCTTCTCTGTCTTTAAACTATATTGCAAATTAAGTGCACATTTTGGTTCAGTTTGGGTTTATATAACAATTGGGTGTCTTTTATGTTGTTCAATGCTGTAGGGGACAAGATATCGATGGTCACTTGTAGGTTGGTGAATCTTCTCTCCTTGTCAAGTGAGTCTTACTTCCATACTCCAAATTACTTTTTTCTACATTTACTGGATTCAGAAGATAAAATATGTTATGTTGTAAACTAGATAAGGTTCGGCAAGTAAGAGTGCACTGCTTATGTGATGTTCAATGATTCTTGTTCTCAGGAAACTGCTGTTTTACACTAGGGATTCTCTCGATACTCACTAGTGTCTGTGGAATTCTCGATTAACTTCAGGGCTGCAACAATATTGGAGCAGCGAGTTTTCATAACTCGTTGGGGACAACATCCCAAGCACTCCACTGAGTTTTAAAGATCCAAAGCACAAGGTTGACGGCTTCTTGTAGGATATGCAATAAGTTTTCAGTTTTGGACTTTTGTTATGTCTTGTTTTCACTTTTCAGATTTAAGCAGTTGTTTGTTTGTATGATACTTGACAAATTTTATTATGTTTTGAAAATATAATTTTTTTAGTAATATATTTTTACACATTTTAGGCTTTAAACACAATTTAAATATTTTGATTTATTTATTGAAAATTAAATATTTTGTAACCAAATCTGTGGTACATTCGCTACAGATTTGCTATAGAGATTATTGTTAAAGTTTGTAGCCACATAGCCACAAGATATCAGTAGCCAAAGTTGTCACTATTTAGCCATAGAACAAATCATAGCCATATTGTTGATATAAGCTACAGAAACAGCTTTTGCTAATTTGTTGCTAGTTGGCTACATATTGGCTACGAATTAAAAATAGCGTCGGAGCTGAGGCAACAAAATTGATCTGTTGCTGTTCGTCGCCATCTTAGTTTTAGCTACGAATTTTGTCCGATAGCTACATAATAATCGGTAATTATTTCAGCAAATTCTTGTAGTGGGTGTTCTATGTACGGAAAAGAAAAACCTTTCATTCCATAAAAGTAAATTAGTTTTTAGTTTTTTTGTTGGGCTTGTTTATAATAATTTAGTTTTGAGTGACTGTTTATCTTATATTTTATTTGAGTACTTTATATTTTGTGTTAAAAAAACTAAATTATTAACTTAAAATGAAAATCTTTAATCGTTTTTTTGCAGATTTTGGAATCCAAATTACTCTACTCTGAAATACTTACTAGCAGATATCTCAAATTCTAAAATTACTCTAAGACACGTTTTCAAGCACTGTTAAGCAATTGAATTGCATTCATCAAATAGTAAATGGGGTGGTTAATGAGAGAGACTCAACTTTGGATATTTAACGTGGGCCTATAATTTTACTTTCAGGCCCATTAAATGAACGGGATTTCTTATTCGCAAATTTTTGAAATCTCCGTCTAATTTGGATTAAAAACTAAAAATGGTCATTAATATACAGATTTGTTAGTGCGATTCGGTTTCGATTCGTCAAAGAGAATCAATCACTGAAGAACATAACTGGAAATTTACAATCAAATTGCGAAATTAGCTCAAGAAGATTAAACTCACGGATGGTTTTTGTGTATAAATTCAAATAGCGACTCATTGCATTATTCTCTTGTCTCTACCTTCTTTTGTGTGTTTCTGGTGTTGATTGGTTCATCATTGGTTTTCATACGGTTTGAGAGAAATCTTTCGGTTTGTGTTTGTTTCTTTACCAAATGTCGGAGATTGGAGGAAATAAAATTCGGATTCCCTGGTTCGATAACTCTGATTTAATCAGAAGCTTGAATAAAACTCTGATCGGTAGGATTACGAATCTTGAGAAGCAGAACGTTGGATCACTGGTTTCCATGATGCCCAAAATCTGGAAACTAGACGATGATCGAGTAACCGGTTCGGATTTGGGTTTAGGATTGTTCCGGTTTGATTTCCAGAGAGAAGAAGATATTCTCCAAGTGCTCAAAACAGAGCCTTTCAGTTTTAACCAATGGATGGTTTCGATTGTAAGATGGGAACCGATTGTACGCGAAAACTACCCATCCGATATCACGTTTTGGGTCAGAATCGTTGGTGTTCCTCTGCATATGTGGATTGATCCGGTTCTCCGGAGAATTGGGAATGAGCTTGGTACGGTTCGAGAAGTTGATGAAGTGAATGCTATGGTTCAAGTGAGTATCGATGCTACTAAGCCATTGTGCTTCGAGATATCGGTTCGATTTAAAACCGGTGGTGAGGAGGTGGTTGTGAAGATGGAGTACGAGAAGCTTTCCGGTTACTGTAAGACTTGTTTTAGCCTCTGCCATGACCAAGATTCTTGCCCGGAGAAAGACTAAAACAAAATCCAAGATTCAACCAAGCGAACCGTCAAGAGATAGTTAAACCGGCTCAATTAACAGAACCGGAAATAATAAGTCATCGTTATTTCTTTTTAATTTTGTTCAATAATGTCGAGAGAGTATGTCTACGGAACCATTTCTCGAATTTATCCACTTTTGTAGGAATTAAGATTTTACTTTCCGTTGCTCATTTGTATTTTTCCCTATTTAAAGAAATGAAAAACCGCAAAAGAAACACTAGTCTCTTTGGAAAACATCGGATCCAAATTGCTTAATTATTTCAACAACTATCTCTACATCGCAAATAATTAAAATCCAAAGTAAATGGCAGATTTAATCTAAAAATGCGTGTAAATGCGTACCGTAATCACATTCTTAATCTAAACATATAATCGAAAAACATAAAAGTAGAAATACTTATACCATAATGGCATAATTTAAAGTAGAGATGATCTTATAATAATTAAGGAGATCACGGTTCATTTCACTGGTTTCAACTTTTAACTATACTGAGATCATCTCTAGTTTAAATTATGGTATATTTAATCGTTATGTATGTAGAAACCATAGTCGAATCGTTATGATGAGATCATCTTTATTTTAAATAACTATTTCTGATGAGAAACCATAGTAGAATCGTTATCATAAGATCATCTCTAATCTAATGTTAACTTATCGAAATATTAATTTTTAATTTTTAATAGTTACTGATTATAAATTTAGAGAATCATCGAATATTAATTTATAAAGTTCTACTACTATAATAGTTATCTATTTAGTAATTGCATTAGCGTTTTGTAAATTTAACCTTTATGTTATTCTCTAAATGTTGTTGTGTATTTGCTCAAAGCAACCTATGTTGTTGTGTATTCTCTAAATGTTTAGCGTATCAAGGGAACCTATGCAAAGATAAGGGACAAAAGTCACAAAACATTCACTACTATCTTGTCAGAAGCAAGACACGAGAGATAACTACTACTACTAAATGATTAAAGAACACAAGAAAGCATTACTACGAAAACACACTTCACTCCATAACTAGAACACCAAAAAAAACATCTCTCACAAGAAAGTGACGAAGAGCAAACGATTATTTAATAACTTAAATAACATCTTTTAGTAGGTTTAGGAAGTGTTTTTCTCTAATAAGGGGCCTCTTGAGGGTCTTGATGCTTTTCACTCTTCATCATCCTCATCCCCATCACTAGATTTCTTGGCTCCAGCTCAATCTTTCCTTACTCTTCATCATCCTCGTCTCCACCACCGCCAGCAGATTTCTTGGCTCCAGCTCTCTCGTTCCTTCTCTTCACTCTTCCGGGTCGACCACCACCGAATGGACTGGTTAGAGAAAAGTCAATGTGTTTCTGCGAGTCAACCTTCACCAAGAAGGATGGAATGTTCACCAGTTGCCTCCCAACCCTACAAAGCGAATCAATAACCAGTGTTTGTAGCAGTAATGTTACACTTTAAAACACAGCTGAGTCCATTTTTAGCTCTGAACTACAACAATACCAAGAACCTACACGAGTCAAAGGAAGACAAGAACGACAAGCCTCTAAACAATTGAGTTTGATTGAAGGAGTTAACTATATGATGTTCCTAAGATCATACTAATTCACAATACGTCATCACCTATAAGTTTAAGCACATTTGAGCTCATTAAGAGAAGAGAACTGTGAAGGCATATATAATTTTCTAGCAGGAAAAAAAAGATAAGTCTTGCACAACAATTGAGTTGCTTAGAGCCTGAACTGGGACAAAATGGAACATATAACCAAGATTCTACCCAATTCAAAGCCACAGATTCTATAACAAGTCAAGCAGAACGAAACCGATAAGCATTAGACACAAATGAATGTTAGTTCCCAAGATTAACAATACCCGTTTTAAAAAGTCTTAATCTTTCAGGTCTAAATGAAACTTTTTTGATTACCTGATGTGCCTTTGACGGATAAGGACACGAGCGTGGTGAATGGACTTGGCCATACCAGACTTGAACACGATTGTCTGGAGACGACGCTCGAGGAAATTCTCAACAGTCAAAGCAAGAACGTAATCGAGCTTGTTCTGGCTCTCATCAAGAAGACCAGTACGGTTCATCCTCCTAAGGAGAGCTTCACCTTCAAAGATCCGGCGAGGGTTCTTCTCGTCGAGAGTGAGAAGCTCTCTTGCAGCATTACGGATACGGCTAAGCGCGTACTGAACCCTCCACAGCTCTCTCTTACAACGAAGACCGTACTCTCCGACAAGCTTTAGCTCAGCGTCGAGACGCTCCTTCTCGTACGGACGTCGTGGCTTCTTGAATGTTTTGCCATCTGAAAATCAAAGCCACCATTAGAAAAATCAAATTTTTATAAACATCAGATGAAAACAGAGAGAACCAGATCAACAAGTGATCCACTTTCATAAATGATTTATGGAGTTTAATTTCACACAGATTCTGATCAAACCCTAATCACCATTTGCATGCATCGATATTCTGAAATATTATTATATACGAAAATTGAATTGCTACTATGAGAAAGAGTGAGAATTATGAACAGTGTAATGAAATTAAGCAAATAGCAGAAATTATTAGAGGAGAATGATACCCAGATGATCTAAATCGCCGATTACAAACGAAAAGATCGAGAATTAATTGGAAGATGTATAGAAAGAGAGCTTACAGTTGCGGTAGAATCTGACTTGCACCATGGTTGCTGCACAGAGAAGGAGGACGAAGAAGTTTTGTTTTTATACTACTGCACAGACAAAAACCTAGGGTTTCTTTAAGGCTCCATGAGTCGTTTTGGGCTTTATCAAGCTAGGCTAGGCCCATTGGACTTCTTCATTGACCTCTATTAGTCTTTGAAATAATATGTTTTTTTTATAAAATAATTACATATTGCCTATTACTAATTATTGAAAGGAAGATAGAAATATCAAAAACTGAATCATCAAAATTAGCAATACTGTACTTTTTGCTATCAAATTTTTTTTAGTAAATATTTGTATGCTCTTACCATACCTTTGTACAGAAAAATGTATAACCGGCGGATTTAGGAAAAAGCTCTGCTACTAAATGAATAAATCTTTATAATGATTTTGATAAAATACTCCGTTTGTTTCACAATAATGCTATTTAAAATTATTTTACACATGTTAATTATTTAATTATACAAAGGTATCATTGTTTAATGTACAAGAAGCTAAACTATAATGACTTAAAATCATTGCTGTTTTAACATGAAAAAAAATTGAGAAAGAATATAATCTGCGCAATTACGCTTTGAATTCTAATATAAACTTTAAATTTGTTACACTTATAGGAGCAACAACAAACACCAAGTGAAACGTCTTTGATACTCACTCTTCCGATAAATCTCCAATTCCAATCAAAAATGAAGAAACTTCAGAAAACTTTTTGCTCAACAATAATAACTAATTTAACCATTTTCTTGGATTCTCCTCCACATCAAATTTCTCTACTTTCCTCCTGAAAACAACACAACACAAAGACAAAACTCTCAGCAAAAATCCACAGTTTCAAAGTTTCTAAAACACACACAAAATCTTGAAAGAACTTAATCATTAACTAACTTGATTAGTGAAGTTGGTCTTTCATATCCTCTATAATCCTTCTTCTGACCCTTCATCATCTCTTCTTTTGTCGCCATCGTCCAAGAAGCTTTAGTCAAAGATTCACCCAACAACTCTGCAACATCAGTCGCCATTGCTTCAACCTTGGCCGCATATGGAAAGTTCTTCTCTTCAAACTGATTAGACAACCAAAGATACATTGACAAAATTTGGTGTCTACTCTCCAAATCCAAAAGCTCTGTGTCGTTCTTAGCAGAGCTCTTTGGCATCCCCAAGGCCACATTAACCGGCATATCATTGCTATAAGTCGAAGCAAACCGAAGCAAATGGTGCATCGCTTTCGGGTTCCTGACATTAACCGGAGCAAAACAGAAGTTAAACCGGTCTTCTAGAGACAATCCTTTTACTTTCTCCAACATGTTTGCCACTTTCTTGACATGACTATGATGACACAAGAAGTAAGAACCGTCGAGCCTGCAGTGTTTCCCGAAATGCTCCAAGAGCTCTGCAAAAGACATGTCGGGAAGTTTCGCTGCGAAAAGCTCAATCTGTTCGAAGAAAGGGAACAAACCGACTTTGTTAACTTCATCAAACGGTTGCTGCAAACACTCGATAAGATAGGCTAGATCTTCTGAGTTTAGTGTCGTTGTGAGTCCATCAGGATAACGACTTCCTCTTCTTCCTGCTCTACCAGCGATCTGTTTCACCTGTGAAGCCGGTACAGGAACAACCTTATCGCCGTTATACTTACCCAAACCGTAGAACACAACACGTCTTATGTTAAGATTCAATCCCATCCCAACAGCATCACTAGCAACAAGAACATCGTACTCGTTTTCTTGATCGTTGAACAGGATCGCTTGCTGTCTCCTCGTCTCAGGAGGCAATGCACCGTAGATAACACAGCAACGATGCTTCGTATGTTTCTCTATAGCCATCTTAACTTCGAATATCTCTCTTCTTGAGAAGGCAACAATACAATCACCGGACTTTACGTTCTTAAGATCTCCTAATAAGGTCTTACTCTCAACGACCAAAGGCTTAAACCTCTCGTAATGCTCTTCGACTAACTCGTCTCCTGTATCAGCACATATCTTACGCACAATGTCCAAAACACTCGGGTCCCCGCATAAATGAATCTCATCTGCTTTTAAACCAAGCAAAGCCTTCGTCCAAGCGTGGCCTCTACTAGAATCAGCCATCATCTGTATCTCATCGATCACAGCCACTTCATACAACTCTTCCGTAGACACCATCTCAACAGTACAAGAAACATGCTTCGCGAAAGGAACACGTTTCTTCTCTTGTCCAGTCAAGAGACTACAGTAAATCCCTAAAGCATTCACCTTGTCGAAGACTTCCATAGCTAATAACCTAAGCGGGCTGCAATACAACCCGTTCTTGGCTTCCATAAACCGCTGCAAAGCATTGTAAGTCTTGCCACTATTGGTCGGTCCACAGTGATAAACGATCTTACGCTTCATAGCCCGAGCAAAAGGGAACCAAGTCGCAGGTTTCGTGAGGTCTGCGCATTCAACAACGCTCTTGAAACGCTTGATCTCTTCGGGAAACTCTTCGATACAGAACTCGACAAACACAGGGAACAGAAACTTAACAGCTTCATCCCTCGGTCCAACACGAACAAGATCTTGAACAAGCTCAATCTTGTTACACCTCTCCAAGAACAAGTCCCTGAACTTGCTAACAGCAGTTGGGAAAAACAATTTCCCGATATAGATCGCAAGAGCCTGATTCGCTGCCCATCCCGATTGCGCAAAATACCCGAAAATCTCATGTATTGTGTCCCATTCACTACGCTGAAGCTTAGCACGCGCTTCACTTTGCCTAAGCTCTTTATATAGCTCCACAGGATCTTGACACCTAGCGTTTAAGGCACGAGCAGCCTCGCTACTCTCTTCACTGTTATTACCAATCACATCAGTCTCAGGAACAGCGGAATCCTTCGTCAAGCTCTCATCTACATCGCCATGTTCATTAATCACAGCTTCCTCATCACAAACCTCACTCTCAGAACCAAGACTTTCCTTACAATCTACCATATCAGATTCATCGTTTCCACCGTTATTATCAACCGTAGACGAAAAGCCCCTGACTTTACCAAACCCAAAGCACCCGAACCTGTAATCGTTCCATGGAAGCTGAGCCCGAACCGGATTATCCGAATAGAACCGGGTCGTGGGCACATGGAATTCTGGATTAACAAGAGATCTACAGGCAATTTCTCTAAAAGTATGCAAATTTCGTGTCGATAACAGAATCCTAACTCTATAAGTGTATGCTCTACGCAAAACTCCAGCTACGCCTTTCGCCATGGTCGGGACTCGAATCAGAAATGAAATTGACAATTTTTGCAGTGTAGCTTTTTCACCCTGTTCCGAAAAAGTCGCCTCCTTTTTCGTTTTACTTCAAAATGGGGTTTTCGATTCAAGGAAGATTCATGGAGGATAAAAATAGTAAACGAGGTCAAAGCTAGTTCCTTTAAGCGTACCTCAGAGAGAGAGGGATGCGGGAAATAGGTGACGATGGCCGTTTAAAGCGAGAGGAGAAAAACCCTACACATCTCTGTTCGGCCTAGTATTGTTCCGATGCTTCTACTGTACTTTGACAATTTTTGGGATTTTTGTTTAAAAATTGTTTTTATTTATTACTTATTAAACTAGGAAGGGGTTAATTTACGCTATACTAAGCATGTTTCATTTTAATTAACAAACTTTTGAAATTAAGTTTGAAATAAAGACTGATAAAGTAATAATAAATTTCATTCTCTTAGTTTAATAATTTTATTTGCTAAACATGCATATAAAAAAATTGATGAAAATGATCATATTTTTGTTTATATATAAAGTTATAAGAACATAAATAATAAAAAATACAATTTTTATAAAATAAACGGTTATAAAAAATTTATCTAATAAATACTGAAAAATATGAATTTTACTTAGAGTTGTGAAAAAATTATAATAAAAACACAATGATAAATGATATTTATTCAATTTTATTTTTAATAAAATTAGTAGTTATAAACAAAAGCATAATGAAAATACAAATATTAATAACGGTTATAAAAAAAATATAATTTAAATACAAAACTTGTCTGAGTGTTGTAAGATACCCCCACAATCAGTATTTGATTTGATAGTGATTTTTAATAGCATTGTTGGAAAACGATTATATGTTAAAATTTATACTATTTTTATTTATTTATAGTAAATAAAACACTTTTATGATAGATAATTATAACAAGAAAGTAAAAATAATTATCAAATAATTTTGTGATTTAAATAATATAAATAATTTAAAAAGACACAAATTATTTGTGATGAAAAATACAACAATTAATAATGAAAAGAACACAACCATTTATATTGAAAATGTGCAACCACAAGTTTTGAAACCACAAAATTTATCATAATGCAAATAGTCTATCAAAACATAACCCGTGAATTATTAGATTCTATTTCATAGAAAAGAATGCTGACATAAAATGTTTTTTTAAGATTTCACAGTTTATTGCAATAATAATTTCACTATAGTAAAAAAGTAAAATTTAGACACAAATGATTTATTTTATGTGGTTTTGGAGCAATATAAATAGTTTTGAAAAGACACAAATAACAGTTGTGATGAAAAAACGCAACCGTTTATAATGGAAAGATGCAATCATTTATAATGAAAATACGCAAGCATAAATTTTGAAACGACATAATTTTTTAAAGTGCAAATGGCATTTATTCGGATTGTTATTCCTACTTACAACTCGATATATGCTCTCCTATTTAACATTTTTAAAATTGATTGAACCGATATTAATGAAATATTATGATCATAGAGCTTAAAAACAAACCAGTACCAAGTTGTGATTTTTTATTAAAAAGTTGTATCTACAAACCACTCTTTGAACACAATTCTAACTAGTCAGAACATGCGAATAGTAGTCACAACAAAGAGAAAAGCTACAAACAACCTTAATTAGCCAATACAAAATTATCATATATATAATTATTATTTAAAATAGAAAACTATAATGATATACAAATATCACAACCAAATTGTATAATTGTTTTGTTGTAGTCCATACAAAAGTTTCTTTCATTGCCGTATAACATTCTTTATAACTATTAATTAAATTATTTGATGTAAATGCATCTTCAAAACGACTCTGAATTTTATGATTCTTTGCAAAAAAACATAAACCATTACAGTAAAAAAGTAAGTATCAGATCCAAATGATTTTAGTTTTTGGCTTTTAGCAATATAAATAATTTTGAAAAAACACAATGAAAATACATAACTATTTAGAATGAAGAAACGCAATTATTTATAGTGAAAAGATTGTAACGAAAAGACGCAATCATAAATTTTGAAAGGACATAATTTTTCAAAGTGCAATTGGTATTTTTTCAGATTGTTATTATATATAGATTGTTAAAAAAAATTGTTACTTAAACGTTAAAAAAGCTTTTTTTGTTTCTTATTTATGAATTCTATTTTTATTCTGTGAAGATTGATTGTATAGAGAAACAATTCTCAAAATCATCATAATTTTCAAATTTTGTATTAATTACCAAATAAATACTAATTTGATTTTAGAAATGCCAAAAAGTTTATGTTTTTTAAAAAGGTGTAGGAAGGAAAAAACATACAATGGCTTAAGAACTTTTATGAATATTTTTAAAACTTAATTATGAACTTCAGAAACTTTTTTTAAAGCTGTTGTAGTTTTGAAAGTAAAAGTTTTTTCTTTGAATAATGTTTTAATGTAAGAGAGCTTACGGGTTTGTAATGACATCAATATCTATGCTGGAAAAGATATACATAAAAAGAAAATTGAAATAGAAACCATAATTTTTCCATTGACTATAAAGTCTATAATATATTCAGAGAATGAGAAGCAATTGTGACTTTGCTATTTTCATTCAGATTAAACACAGAAAAACAGAGAGGTTGAAGAGGGAGAGATCGAATGTTGTCAATTTTGTCATGAGCTCTTCTCTTCTAATGAGATCTTTAGCTCTAAATCTTGGTTTCCTCTCTTGATTTTCAGTTTCACCTCATCACCCACACTATACTCATCCAAAATCTTCATCAACTCAGCTTTGTTCCTCACCTGATCAACCACAGAAACAAATTTCATTTGAAGAACAAACCAAGAAATGACAATCACTGAGGGACAAAAAAAACAAAAACTGAAACTTGAGAGTGATTTTCTTGTTTTTATGTAAGAGAGCTTACAGGTTTTTCATCAACTGCAACAATGATATCTCCAAGTACTATATTACCAGCAAAACCTCGAGATGTCGGAACTAACCCAGCTTTTGCAGCCAGGCTATCTCCAGGTACCTGAATTCACAATCATTACAGTCAGAAAAAGAAAGAACGGTTTCAAGGTTTAAAGAGTAGTGAAGTGTTTACACACCTGAAGTACAAGAGCTCCATTACGAACATTGAGTTGATTAGCTACTGAGTCAGGGGCTAATTCTATGTTAATACCAGCTCGAAGGACCTAAAATTTTCAGATTCAGTAACAACATTAAGAACTTTCTGAATATGTGGATTAAGAAAACAAGAGAAAGGAATTTTGTGTATGTGTGTGCTTACTTTGCTGAACTGGATTAGTTGAGGAACAATCTTCAATACAGTTGATGCCGGTATTGCAAACCCGACACCAGCAGATGTTCCTATTGAAGCAAAGAGTGAGATTTTGCAAATGGAAAATTTCGAAAACAGAGTCACTGAAACTAACCTGTCTGTGTGAATATGGCAGTGTTGATCCCAATTAAGTTCCCTTTTGAATCGAGCAGAGGACCTCCACTGCAATGTTTAATACAGAAATGATCCATTAAACACACACACACGCACAAGAAAAGTCTAGTCCCCTTTTGTATGATTCTGTAGACTTTACCTATTTCCCGGGTTAATGGCTGCATCGGTTTGAATCCCACCACCAATTGTAACACCGGTTTGGCTAAAAATGTCGCGGTTAAGACCGCTGATGACACCAACGGTAAGTGTGTGGTCAAAACCAAACGGGTTTCCAATAGCTAAACACTGCTGTCCAACTTTCAGAGAATTTGATTGTCCAACTCTTATCGGTTTCAGGAGAGCTTCAGGTGCTTCTACCTGATTTTTCATGGTAACATCAAATGTGAGCAGTTCGATACATATCACCAAACATAAAAAGTATAACATACCTTCAAGACAGCAAGATCCTTAGTACGATCAGCACCAACAAGTTTTCCTTCGAAATTCTTCTGTACCCTTCAAGATTTTCACAAACGAGCGAGACATGAGAAACAACTAGAGAGACTATATAAACAGCTGAATCAATTTCATCCTTCAGAAGAAACTCTCACCCATCAGATGCAAGAACATTCACACGACCAACCACATCCCCGGGACTAGGATTTCTTGAAAGGGCATTGCCAATAACTTTTCAACAGAAAATCCAACTAAACATTACAATCCAAGCCCATCACAAGCACTCGTAGAATCAAACATGGTTCATTCAGATCATCTTACCGTGATAATTGGTCACAACGTATCCTTGATCACCCCAGACTACCCCAGAGCCATTTCCTTCTGGTATCTACGGTTGAATTTGAGAGAGATTGTAAGTCAAACAATCTATAATAACATAAACAAGAATAGTTTTTTTACTTGGTAATGAGAAAACAATACCTCAACAACACCCGTCATTTTGAGCTGAGGCCTTAATGTGACATCAAATATGTTGACAACGGAATAAGTGTTCTTCTCAAACAGTTGGACAATTCTCCCCTGAAACAGAGGAAAGATATATGAATGAATCTTAGTGTAACCATCAAAGCCTGAAACTTTGATTACGATTTATTCTCGTCAAAGAAACTAACCTCGGTAGGGAAAAGAGGTCCAGCTGGAAAAACAGGTGGACTAACATCTTCAACTGTCGTTACAGATGGATCACCAAGTGCTAGTGCTGTAGTTCATCCAAAGTGCATTCTCAGTAATCAAATTATATATCACTATGAATCGATGAAAACCATCTTATTATAAGCAGAAGAGCTGATAGTGCGATGAAAAGACTAGATCAGATCATGATCATGATCATCATGACTCGTGTCTACTAGAGAAACAAATCCTTAGTTTCTTTTAGTCATACTTGGTTCAAGAATTTCTGAAATCTAACACTTAGCTTTGGACCATCACTAGCTAGGAACTACAATGCTCTGATTGTGAGAATTAAGCTACTCGTTACAGAATTCGAAGAAGACAAACACAGCTGAACAAGGTGCAGACCTGATAAGTACCTTGAAGGATTATAGCACAGATTCATGAATATACTTGTCAACAAGATTCGCCTTGTCGTTGAAGGTACACTTTTCATTGCTAACTCATGCAAATTCGACTTCCAATCTCGACCAATCCTAACAAAAATACAAACAACCAAAAGCTATCATGAACATCACATTTCCAAGTAACAATCTCAGGAACACAACAGAAAGAAACTTACTAGCAAGCAACATACACACTAGTGAATTTCATTTTCTCCATTGCTTACTACATGTCTGGTAATAACTACTAAATCGAAAAGATTATCACAAAAGCTAAAGCTTTACAGGGA